TTTATATCACAACCACTGCTATCACACGCTTGGCTGGTAAATAAATCCTGTAACTGTTTTTCGGTATTAACACAAACTCGAACACGGTGTAACTTGTTAAAAAATGACTCGCGGTCTTCAGCTAAACACAAATTAATATTAACTGTGAACAAGGAAGCAAATAAGTCTTGGAAATAAGATTTTATATTAGAGTTACTCTTCACAAAATTTGCAATTTCAACAACTGAAGGTGCAAATAAATTATTCAAACTATCACTCTCTATGACTTTTACACTTTCCTCGAAAGCAGTGGAAAAACTTGCTGAGAAGATATCTTTGTCAAGAAAATGTTTCCCTGTTGACTTCTTTAAAGATGGTGGAGTATCAGATGCTGATGCTGAAGCAGAATTCTTATCTTGTAGTCGATGATCACTTGCTGAAATAGAAGTATGCACACAAGTGTTGGTATGACTAATGTATTTTTTCCTCTACTATGTAATTCCCTCACTTTCTGGTAACAAGAAATCTTCATTTACATCTTCATTTTTTTCTATGAAAATTTATCAAATTAATGATGATCAAGACTACATTCAAAGATGGCAAAATATACTACATACAGGTACTGTATTTGTTAATTGATTATCATTAAACTCTATGATTTTTTCTTTAATTTGTAAGAGGAAGATACATTTCCTTGAAAAATCAGAACATGTAATGTTTCATTTACTCATTACAAAACCTTTTAACACTGAACCTTGAAAACCAAAAAATTGCCAATTATTAAATATTTACTTTTAAGGAGATAAGAAATATGATTTCAGTGACCTTCTATTTCAATATTTTGATCTTGACACTTTCTTATTTATTTAGTTGTTTAATTCTGAACAACATTGCATCAAATACTTATCACCTATTATATATTTAACAAGAGATGTGAAATATGTGTGTCCCTTATTTTATTTAGACATTTTGACTTTGGTACAGATTTATTTTAAACTAAAAACAATAATAATTGCTTCATACCAATACTTATTAATGAATATTTTACTGTCTTTGAGATGAAATCAGTGATTGTTTTTTATCGAATATATCCTCTATTTATATAAATTGTTAGAACTGCAATTTAAATTATTAAATGGTTTAAATATATTTATACATGTCGAACTAAGTGCTTACTCGAACCTATATATTATATAAATACATGCAATATATGTATACATCTAAGCATAAAATGAGAGGCAACACTAATTTTGATAGCATTAGTTATAGTGTTTATCAGTTATATATTTAATTTGCATTCAGATCGTGCATAATTAACCAAAATTTCACTTTTTACAGACTAATCAGTATTAATAGGAATATAAAGACCTATATGAAATAGTCTTGCATTGTCTGAACTCAGAAGCCGGTTCCGCCTTATCGCGCAACCGCAACTTAAGTCTCGCGACGTGTCTCGATAACAATAGGCTCAAGCGTGCGTTTACGAGATCTGCGCGAGTTGCCAATCTCTGGCTTTATACGTCTCTGGTATATTAGACTTTTCCAACAGTGTCAATGACCCCAAACTCGTCTAGTTTAACTGTGTGTCATTGACTCCGCTACGTCCTCACTGCCTCTGTCGATGGTCCATTGCTTTTAGCGTGTATTAATGCAAGTCAGCTTCTCTTATAAGTAAACATATGAATGTGATAGCACACAAAGATACAATGATTTCATTTAGAAAAATCACCCGCTAGCAACAATAAAGTCTGCCTTCCTTCTATCAGCTCTGACAGCAGTAGTGTCAGCTTTTTAATTCACCTACTAAGAAACCTTTTAGCTATCAGACTCATTTATCACATACCATAAACACTAGAAACCAAAGATGGACTGTAATTGTATAAACTATCGTTATTTACCTGTCATAAACTGTCTTTACACAAAGGCAATGGCAATGGGCCAGACAGGGAAGATAAAGAAACCTTCCTAGAGAACAAAGATTCTGTAACTTATTTAACTCTAATGATATCGAAGACGAATTTCATTTTATATTAAAGTGTAACTTTTATAACGACTTAAGGCGCGAATTTATTAAGCCTTTTTATTACAAACGACCAAGTGTTTTCAAATTGATTCAGTTATTTACTACTCAAAACATTAAGGAATTGAATAAATTGGGAAAATTCCTGTTTTTAAGTTTAAAACGTCGTAATAGCACTGTATAATATTTTAGCTCATTTTTCCTGTAAATGTTCATTTCAGTATACCATATTTGATAAGATATTTGTATTATGTGTATATTGTGTAAAAAAAGACGATTGTGCCCGTTCATTACCTTTCCTATGTGATATAAATTATATGGTAAATTAATCATAAATAACAATGTCGAAACATCGACGAGTATTTTCTATATCGTAATATCACTGTCACTAACGTCAGGTGTAACATCGTATTTATTACACTAGGGCAGTGTATTTTATTGTTTTTTACTGTTCTACTAGAGAGTATTTATTCGTGTCATATGTGCGATACAATGTATGTAACTATATTAATCCAGTTATCATTACCTGTAACGTACGTCATTGATAGTTACACTATTGTTATGCTTGCACCGTATCGGAACCTTACGATGTTGGTGTATTGCAGTGTAAAATGCAGTCTCTTATTATAGGTCATTTTGAAGTACTGCACGATTAATGACTATTATTGTATACATGTATCATTGTAAATTTGTAATATACTGTACTATTTGTATGTCTACTCTTTTTTTTTTTTTTTTTTTTTTTTTTT